GCATTCCCGAGAATATGAAAAAGGGGCGTGCTGGATGCTCTTAAAGTGCAGTGGGTCAGTATTGGTCCCTTAGGGCGACTGCACAGAAGTGAAGACGCACGAACCCATACACCCCCCCGCGCAAACCGACACAAGCGGCCCATCCCAACCACGTTCCGTTCGTTCAATCAGGGCACAGACCCGCCGACATTCAGGCAGTAGGAGGCCGTCCCAAACATGTTGCTAGACAGCAGCACCAACAGATCCCCCAACGGCCACGCAAATCATCGAACCTGCCATAACCGCAACAAATCGAACTCAAACCGATTGAGTCGCTCGTCCTTCACCGCCGATTGACATAACCTTGCCCCTACGTCGAACAACGTACCGTGCAATCAACACTCGCACTGCCTAACCAAGCCAAATACCCCTTGTGCGCACGTTAACGTAAGCAACCAACGTCCGGGATATCCAGACCATTCCTTGTCATGTACCTCTGTAAGACATGTACCCAAGCCGGATCCCGTCCCGCCCGCCAGGCTGTGGAGGATGCAGAGCCCCGCCAGGCGGTCGCATCTGTAGAAGTCGTTGCAGACATGATGTCATATGGAAACATTTTGTTTCAAAATCGTCTCCAATTGCTGTACCTTCACACGTGCACCGTGCGAACAACTACTGTGCATCCCATATTGGCAAAATCGATTGACATGTGGGGGCGCAGGTAGCGTGCCTCACGTAGGCGATTCTTGTACAGTAGAGGTCCCTGTTTAAGGCCGCCATACTCACAGGGAAAACACCGGCCTCAAACTGGGCACCCGGCACTATTCAGAGTATGAGACAACTTGAACATTCCATCCGTGCCCACCAATTTCACCGGCCGTAAACAGGGCAACTGGCCTGAAATATGTGCCCGTAAACACGAACCTCTACTGTATCGGATTTACATGCCACGTCTCGCCAACCACTTCCGATGAGCCGGCCCAGAGTAAAACTGTAGCGATCAGGAATCGAATCTCAACCAAACTCCCTCCCACACGCTGTCTCCCCTACCCCCGTCTCTTTCTGGTGCGTTTCTACACCTTTCCGTCTCTCTACGAACGCCCTCAAGACACGCCTCAGTGAAGGTGGCGCCGTGTGCATGATAGCCGTAGGCCCAGTTGTTCGCCGCTCCACCCTGTGCGTGACAGCACACCTGCGTCCCGCTGTCGTACCTCCACCCCCCCCCCCCACNCCACCTCCAACCGTGCTGTGATTCCTATCACCAGTGGTGTTGGTACGACTTTGGGTCGTTTTTCCATAGGCGCTCTCTCTTCCTCCTGCAACTCTACTGGCTCCTGCTCCTGTGCTTTCTGCTCTTCCGCGCGTGGCAACGATGCGTTGGATGACCTTGGGCTCGGTGTCGATGATGACTGCTCTCGCTACGCCTCCGTCGCGGAAGAAGCTTTGACGGCAAGCTGACCTCGCTCGCTCCAATTCCGCACCTGTTGTTGTTGTTGTTGTTGTTATTGTTGTTGTTGTTGTTGTTGTTGTTGTTGTTGTTGTTGTTGTTGTTGTTGTTGTTACTGCTGTTGGTGTTAGTAGCAGGTGTTGTTGCCGACGATATCGTCGCCACCATACACGTTGCTAGCTATTGCTGGTCCACTACCGCTGTTGTTACCGCAGCTGGTGTAGCGTACAGTGCGCAACGCAACCGACGACCGTGCATGAAACCTTGGAAGGCGGTTCACAGAAAGAGCTGTGATGGCACATAAAACTTGGAGATACGGAGGAGTATTGCTGTGGGGACGACTATCTCCCCCACCCCGACTGCGACTCAACCAGTATCTCGCGAGTACGGCCATGGTCGTGTGAACACGACTTGTGGAGTGGATTCTCGGGCTGGGTTGTGTCGATACCAAACTATACCAAAACGTCATTCGAATGCTCTCGACGGTGACGTTCCGCTTGTAAGCCCTACTATGTCGTAGTGGGGAGATATCGAGCATGGAACTCACTCACACGGTGTCTATGATGTATACCGTCACCTGTAGCAATCGTTTCTACCTGAAGTGTAGCCGTGGTGAGCGGGTGGCTGGTCAGCGTGGTCGTGAAGAGCCTGGAAGAGGCTTGCCCCCAGTTGGTTGCCGCATTGTCCAACTTGAACGGTAACCACGGACATCGCTCCTTCACATGGGTAAAGAAAAGAACGCCATACTCATACCAAGGGAAACAAAGCAAGCCGAACGAGAGAGCAGATCTTCATCCGGAAACGGCCGGTTGGTGCAGATAAGGGTCAGAGGTCCATTGGTCCATTGCCACCACATGATGTTTACATGGGAACATGCGGTGGATATGTCCCAGGACATGGCACAAGCCTGGACGTCGAGGGCTACTCTTTTGTACAGTTGGCGCTCGCAGTTAAGAAATATTTTGTTAAGAAATTGAGGCTCACTTATTCACGAAAAATAAGAAAAACGGGTTAAGAAACATAGCTCAATCTGAGTCACACAATAAGAAATGTCTCAATAAGAAAGGAAGGGAGCGGGAGGCGCAAAAGGGTGACAACCCCCAATGTTCGCCTCACGGAGCTTGCAACATAATGACGGGGTAGTTTTCGTTGTTGGTACTTCAGCGTGCGGGTGAGGCATCACGCGGTATTTATGCATTTGTTTAGTTTCAGCTCTCACTCATGAGGGGGGTACAGGACCTTGTAGCGATAGCGAGACGTTGCCGCTGGATACATTTCGCTTCTAGGGAGTGGCCTTACGTGCAGCCGTCGGTAGTGAGAATCGGGGTTGAGTACGGGGTCGAGGAAAGCAGTACAAATCATGTGTATATTTGGAACGTTGTGTAGTATGCAAGCAGAGAAATAAGAAATTGCCGATTTAAGAAATTCAGCAGGATTTGGCTGCACGAAAAAATAAGAAACTTGAAATAAGAAACTGAACGACATGCGCTGAGTTTATAGCCCACAAAAAGAATTCGAGGCTGGACCTGAGATAAGCGTTCCTTAACTGCGGGCGCCAACTGCTGTATCCTGATTCCAAATTTTACAAACGTAATACAGCAGTAGTGCATTCTTGGCGATGCCTTTGACCTCTTCTTGCCTGAATAGACATGCAGACGGATGATGAACAAGTAGACATACGCAGTGCTGTACAACTTACAGCAGCAGTACTGCTGAAGACGCTGTCGGGGAGGCCAGCTGACACTCACGACGAGTATCTCTTGACAACATAAGCACCAACGGGAGAGAGAACGCGGAAGGAGCACAACGACTGCTCTCAAGACACACCACAAACTCACCCCGTGAGTGCTGATCCCAGGGACGCACAGGAGCGAGGAGAGACAGCGAGAGAGAATGAGACGTGTTGGAGCTTGGAGCCAAAGCACATTGTGCTGTTCTCCGGAGAAGGGGGAGAGATAGCACGTGGCACGTACGTCCCACCCCACGATACTGTCGTACATACGCGAAGCCCCCGACTCCTCGTCCCAGCTCGTCCTTGTTGTCTCGTTGTGTCTGCGTTGCGCACCACAGCACAACCCACCTCTTCACTCGTGCTCTTTCAAGCCCCGCACATAGCAGCAGTTCAATGTTTAAGAGGTGAGCCGCTGGATATCTCGAATACTTGTCGTCACGTTGTGACTGCGGCGGATTGGATGGGAGGTTAGGGTGGCGGGACTGTCAAATGTCTCCGCAGCCCATCCAAGGATTGCCAGAGTGCCATAGTGGCATAGCAGTAGTGCCTGGCCGACCTGTTTCGTGCCTACATCTCACGATGGTGGTGCCCAGCTCAATCCGTCATTCACCAAGTTTGCATGCACACAAGAAAATATGCCAAAACTCGCGAGACGCTTTTCGACTGGGTGCTGTGTGTGCGCTTCAGCACCCAGCAAAGGTGTGTAGGTACAATTTCTGGATTTTGTGCGTGGTAACATCTTGCGCGCATTCCCAATGTGTTTGCCCTTATCACCAAGCCCACCAGCAAGCTTCCACAAGCCGCGCACCCGCCGTTTGTGTGTCCCACCCTCCACCGTTTCTGCCATGTCATCAAGAACGTCCATCTTCACCGATTTTGGAGGTCACTTCACGGCAGTGATGGGCAGTAGGCCGTCATGCAACCACCCTTCCATCGAGTCCCCCCCAAATCACATGTATAATGCATGCAGCGCTGCAATACCGGCCGGAATCACCACACGCAAAGTTTGACGTTTCCCCTTTCCTCCGCTGAACCGGTGTTTCTCGTGTGCAAGATTTTCCAAGGATGACGTGTCCTCGTCTAGCCAGGTGAAGTCCTCGGTGCAGCGAGGCTTCCGTGCCAAGCTTTTGGAGCAGTTCCCCAACTCTGAGGTGAGAAGGGATCCAGGACAGGTCCTTGTGCATGTGACACACACAGCAGTTGTGGTAAACGGTGAGGTTGTATCTGCCTTGTGTCGAGCTTTTGTGAGTGCCGCTCCACTGCTGTCTTACCGGTCGCGCCACTTCATGTGGAACTCTTTTTGTGTCCAACTCGTGCGTACGTCGTGTTACTGAACAGTAGTAAGGCGCCAAACTACTTGCCGTGCAGCAGGTTGCGTGCGGAGCCAGTATCCCGCGTGCAGAAGTGACCTTCGTGGAATAGCCCATTGTAGAAAGGGCCAGATTACGGTCATGTGGTAGAAAAAGGTCCACTGATGTGGGGTAAGAAACCGAAATCAAGCCATCAAACTAGCAGCGCTAACTATTATTAGTAGAATGGTTTGATTTCGGCTTCTGTAGGTGTGACTGTGACGCATGTGGCGTAACGCCGTGGGTGCGAATCATGCCTCGGCCTGCTCTTCTTCTCAAGGTTGAAGGCCACTCTAAACATGACCGCCTGACCGGCCGAAGCGAATTACAGCTGGAAGTCGTTTTTGTCTGCGAAAAAAAATAATTGCGAGAACTGAGGGGGACTCACCTAGATTTACTTGAAGGCAGGAAACCTACTCCCAGGCAAAAGGATACTTTACCCTGCCCGAGGACGAGAAGGAACGTATGCATTTAGACGCTCCATTCGTGCGCGAACCCGCGCGACTAGTCGAAGATATTTTCATTACCACACACAGCACCCACCAAGTGTTGACACAAGACTTCCCCGTGACCCTCCCTCCTATCATCACAGCCGTACCTGGAGGACATCCTGCCTAAGAAGGGCAACGTTACGATCGCCAAGTGCAAGGATCGGGTGTCTCTGATCTGCTGCGACGGCGTACCACTGTTCTTCCAACAGCGAGATGGCCACATCTTTCCCACGCTCAGGATATTGCACAAGTGTGAGTGTTTTTTCCCGTTTTTGCGAGATACTTGTCTTTTGTTCGATTCATCGGCCGTGTCACACTGACTCTCTTTCTTCCCCTCGCTGCCTCGGCAAGGTTTTGCGTAGGCATGACCCATAGCGAGGGGGGGGAACAACATATTGGTGAAATTGAGAGCGAAGCATGAAATTGAGACCGAGAGCCAAAAGATGAAAATTCGGGTCCAGACGCCTCTTGCCATTTCTTGGGAAGTAGGNGCGCCGCGAAGCCTGCGTAGTGGTGGAGTTGGGTCGGCACTGGTGCGTCAGGTACAAAGGTGCAGATGCGCGGGCCTCCAGGCCGTCTGTGTAGGCGGCATTGTCCATCTCATATTTGTGCGCGGAGGCAGACGTCACCAGAAAGGTGGACGGGCACTATGTACACGGCCCTAGGTTTGCTAGAGGGAGCTGTACTGTCTCAGTAACCTGGTTTTGCCATCAAAGGAGGAGGGGGCAGATGGTGACGAGCTGATTGGGCTATGACCCTTCGGCGCGAGAATTTTCAGACCAAGAACCCTAAGTGCAACGAGGGAGAAAGCGAGGAACCGACTGGGAAGGACAGCAATGAGAGCGTGTACGGAGCGGACCGGGTCGAGTTTGGTCGTGCTAGGACTGGCCACAGCGGCACCGGAGCAGCGGAACCGGAGCATGCGGATGGCATCGAACCGTGGCGCACGGACAAGCATCTCTTGTGTTGTCAATTATTTTCCGCTTTTTCCTGAATATAGGTGTTGGGTGTGTGTGATGACGTCACCGGTTTTGTAGAGAGACGCGGCAGAGATGGCGCGGATAACCCGGGTGCTTTTAATTGTGTACCTGCATCGTGGAAGACCCCTTCAATGTGGAACAATCCCTAGTCAGCGTCGATGTTTACACTGCTGTGCCTAACACAGATGATCTGGATAGGTTTGGGTGATTGTCAATTGCAATGATGGCTTTGGTTGGGTGTTCTTCATTGTATGTGCACGGACTCATTCTGACAGCACTTCAGACAGCAGCTCCATGCCCCGAGCTTGTGTACCATGCACCATGGTGTTATTTTTGTGCAGACAGCACTTCAGACAGCAGTACGCTGTAGTCGACAAACATTCATTTCGGTTAAATGCGGGACAAGGGGGGTGATGCTGCTGCTATAGTCGAATTGTAGTGTGTGGGCGTGTAGTTCAGTTGTGAGCACGCAAACGTGCTGCAGGGATTGCAGGTGTACTTCCTCGGGCTTGCGTACCCTTTTCTTGCTAGTAGTGTGTGTGTTCTTTAGATCTTCTGATGGCTCTAGCATTTTTGTGACCACGGACCGAGTCTTTGCTAGATTTTGGGATCAGCAACTGACACGAGTTTAATGTGAAGAAAAGCAACAACAACAACAACTGCGGTGGAAGGTGGTGTGTTGATAGCATACACGCATACGAACATGGCGTCATGGAGTTGAACGTTGTCGGTTTTTGTGGCGTGTGTTGAAACTTGTCTATTGGTGCTGTTTAATCGGAATATCATCTTGAGTTGGGGAACCAGGCTTTTCTAATGAAAAGCGTGGGAGGAAAACCTGACGACAATATACCGCTGTGTGTGTCATCCCATTTGCTCTGGACTCTGGACGTCACTCTTTTCACCGTTCAACATATGGACAGCCGCGCAAGAGTTTTCTTGCCTTGGGTTTTATCGCGAAAGATCAGTCGTTCCGTTTCCTCGTCGACTGTCAAGCCGAAATTATTGCACACGCGAATTCGTCATTTCTTCACTTTGTTCGAGCATGCCGTGATTAAGTTCGTGTTCATGTTGACGGCGCCCAAGATTCGAATCCACATCCCGAATGCGAGACAAGTTTGCGAGGTTGCCGACTGAACAGCTCACGTGCTACTTTTGTGTAACCGAGCTCACAGGAAAATGTAAAACACGAGCACGCCTAAATCGTGAGAGCGTTATCCAGAGCTGGGGATATAGATTACGTTGGCAGCCCCCCCCCCACCCCTGATCTCTTCCCGCTCCCCCCACGCCTCGTCCGGCATTGGAACACCCCACAACCCTCATTCGAAAAACTTATTGTCAAACGTAGATCCGAACATGATGCCGACGATGCGAGTTGACAAGGGGGCCATCAGCTTCGTCATGAACGGAGCCAACATCATGTGCCAGGGCTTCACTTCGAAGGGGGGGAGAATAGAAACACCGTTAGAGGCGGGAGCAGCCGTGGTGAGTGTATTGTCCATGTTAAGTGCAGAACACAAGCTGCGTTGTAGTTTTCGGGTGTTTTTATCCACTCTGCTTGCTGGAGCCAACGTCGGATCATATGCAATTGCGCGAAGAAGGGTCAATGTGCACGTTGCAGAAGTAACTGCTAGTGACTCGAACATTCTCTCCGTTTTGGTGAATAATTGATGTAGAGCACAAATTAATATTGCAGGAACTCCTTCACAGTCTGTCGTCGTTTCATCAGAGTTATCGTGACACCCGTCATCAAAAGCAAAAACGTCGTGGAACCTCATTTTGTCCTCGTACCCGAGAGTTTGGGGCATTTTCGTTCTATTGAGTACCTCGTTTTCGCTGGGAAAATGAGCCCGCTCCTTGAACATGTTTCGAATGCCCCCTGCACCCCACCACCTGTCCCCCCTTGTACCCTTCTGCCCCGATAGTGTATCCTAGCGGAGGGCAAGAAAGTAGCTCTGGCGGTCGGGCAGACCACAATGTCCACAGCAGATATGTGAGTTGTTTGGATCTGGGTCCCATGTATTGCTTCAGCTTCCTACTGTAGATGCCTTCGCCCTTTACATCTAGAGTTGTTGTTTGTTGTTGTTTTTCTTCATATTAAACTCGTGTCAGTTGCTAATCCCCCCCCCCCAAAAAGAGTATGTTCATCTAGACGGGCGAAATGTTTTCCTGTCAGTGACAGATGTTAGAGAACAAGATTTGACTCACAGCTGCAGATATTGCCACGACGGTTTGGGTGAACACTTGATGCTCGACCGCCAGAACATGATTTCGACGAATATTCAGCTCTCATGTCTGGTGACGTTGTCCTCAATTGTGCTGCAAGTACGACTTCAAACAAGAGACACGGAGTGCCCAGGGTGGCACCGCCATCGTGCTCATGGTCTGTGTGAGGTTTGTCTTAGCAAGCGTTCCTGCTCGAGCCAAGGAGGAGTCCATAATAGCAAGAAGAGACTCTTTGTCTACCCTCGCGCCCAACGTAACTCACGATCGTGCGCAACACCTGAGTGCTTGTTGGTGTTTTTTCCCGTCTGCTTTGCTCGCGTTGCGTTTGTTGAATCAGCCAATCGGTGAACAAGGGCATCGGTGTGGACAACTTGCACTACCTGGGGGACGGGTTGTTTGGTACCAAGGAGTTGGATTGACTCCAGTCTCTTCTTCTGTGCTTCAGATTTGTTTTATCATGTCGCACCTGTGAGGAAAAGCCCCCTCTCGACTACCGTAGCATGTGATGTCTTCGCGATCAGCTCAATGCACCGACAAGTCGTGATGTTCTGCTACCTTCGCCGAATGGTTGTGTGTTGGTGTTGCGAGCATGGTCTGGTCCGCTGCGGCAGGGGGAGTGATAGGTAGGCGGTGCGGTAGGCTCGGAAACCGATTTGGAGGCACCCTCCACACGATCAGCTAGGGGCATGTTACATACAGCCTTACCACGGGTTTGGCAGAGAGCCCTACCACGAGTTTTGGCAGAGCCATGCCTCCCGCATATTGCGACTGTCTACTCTGCAAGTCGTGACACGAGCTCGTTTGAGCCTATTGTTGAGATTCCGCCGCAGGTTTGTTGACCATTCAACGAATTGCTTGCCACAAAAACCCGCGTTGCTCACTCCGGAGTATTCTAGCCAGTACATTTGGCTTTGGTAATGGTTATGGTCAGGACGGAGACATGTTCTTCGTTTGCCACAGATCGCCAGTGTTTCTCTGACGACGTTGGACATCCGGCTGTGAGAAGAACAGCCGCACGTGTTGCTCGATGTCTAGCAACAGTGTCATCAACCAACGGCTGTTTCCTTCCACAGGCGGATACACACGGACACGTAATAGAGTCTGGCTCGACACGCGAACATTTTTCTTGATGCGGCGCTCCAACCGAGGTTCCCGCCGATTTTGTGGTCGATTGTCACGACGCATAATTTCCGTTGGGTGTTCTGGTGAACATAGAATTGTGAAACCAAGTGAGTACGTCAGGAGCTATAGCAGTGTATTGAAGCAGGAGATGCGTGCTCGATGACGGGCTATGGACGGCATGTCAGAATGTGGTGCCTCTATCGGAAAACAAAGTTGTTGGTATCTTTTGTGCAGAGAAACACATGAATTCACGCTCTGTGTGCGTCGAAGGTGAAGAAGACAGTGATATTGATGCCTTTGCACGCATGAAAGTTGATATGTTCTTTTTTAGAGTAGGAGTGTAGAAGAGAACGGGTGCAGGATTAGGGATTTGAATCGTACGCATTTCGTACGAGAAACGAAACCTACCAACGTGTAATTCCTTCCGCTAGCTCGACACAAACGCGTAGTCTCGCTCGACATGCGAATACTTCACTTGGTGCGGCGCCTCCGATCTAGTTTCTCCTCCACTTCTATTCCACTCGCTATGTAACGGGATTTGAGTTCGTTGTACACGGATCTGGATCGTACAGCTTTTAGGGACATCATAGGCTATGGCGGGAGTTGTGGCCCGTCCTGAGTCTTCACGCCTCCTCCGTGCAGGAAGCTCCACCCATTTTATGTTTTCTACCAACGAGGGCAAAAGTCAACACAACGAGAGCAAAGCTGTTCAAAAGCTATTAATTGGCAGCAAGTGAGACCTCTTCAGGATCTTCAGGGATTGGTTGATCCTTGTGTAAACCTCACAAGGCTACGAAATGTATGAAATGTTGAAATCTTGTGTTTTTTTCCCACCTCTTCTTTTGGTTTCGGCCGGATCTTCTGATGAATATGGACTTAAGCAAAGAGTATTCCGGGTGATTGCCCGACAATGGGCTACGCACGGTACCATAATAAATATGCACCCACTCGTGGGACAACAATGAAGAACAAAAATATACCGGAGTAGTGACAGTTGTTTGACGTTGTTGTGTTGTGCAGAGTGAGTCATGACTCTCGGAGGGAGCTGCGTGATGATAAAGAGTAGTACTGCGTAGTCCATCATGCGCTGCTGTTTGTGCGCTGCACACCAAAAGAGATACTTCGAAGTACACTACACACATGACGTCACACCACCACCCCCCGGACACATGAATGAGTGAGTATACAAAACCATGCACAACACATGTTCGCGTAACTACTAAATCAGGCTCCTCTTGCTAGGAGATTGAAGACGACTGTTCTTAGGTAGAGCCTACCTACTAACCAGCTTCTGTATGCTACGCACACCATGAGCAAAATATTATACGAGAAGTTCATAATAATACAACTTGCGTGTTTCGTGCAGTTTATCAAGTTTTCGAAAAACAAATAAAAAAGTGCATCGACGGTGCGCAAAAAGTGTGGAGGAGTAGGGATTTGAACCCTAGACATTTCGCATGCGAAGCGAACACTCTACCCCTGAGCTACACCCCCACTTCCAGACATCATTCTGGAATAAGATATGTCCTTCTAATTTACTTACTTTGCAGTTCAGTGGAACGCAGGCGAACTGGTTCACACGTCAGTGCTCGCTTCGAACCGTCGACATTTCTTCAGACAAACCTACTGCTGTACTTACATTACAACATTTTCATAGGGCATGCCGGCCTACCACAATTACGTCCGAATTCCTCAAATTTCTGAGCGGATTATTCCGTGTGGTCGGCGCATCGTATCCCTTGGCACTCATGATCATCGAGCAATCAATGTACAGTAGGGGGCCCTCTATAGTGCCGGTATGTGTTCAGAGAGCAAAGCGGCACTATACCGGGCACCGACACTATTCAGAGTACAGAAAGACTTGATGTTCCGGTGTTGTTGTTGTTGTTGTTGTTTCTCACATTAGCTCTAAAAAAGAAAGATTGGGAGCCCGTGTTCTCAAAACCCGGCATACACGACCCCACGAAGAAACAGAAAAAAATAGGGTACAAAAACCACTCGGAAGAGAAACAAAATGATAGAAAGAAAGACCAGCTACCGCACCAAACGAGAAAGAGCGTCGAGGAGACCGATCAAAATAAAATAAAAGGAGAACGGGGAACGCTTCCCACACCCGCCTACAACGCCGGAGGGTTCCGTGCCGGGTTC